CGCACGAACGACGCCGCCGTCGTCCTCCTGATCCGCCGACACCGGATCGCGCGTGGCCGTTTGCCGTTTGGCCGATCGCCAATCCGTCGTCTCGCCGAACGTCCGAAATATTAATGATCCTTAACGGCGACACGTCCGAGAAACGCGGCGTTCTCGTTGCCGAGTGGTATCCGCGTTCGCGATGATCGCGAGAGTCGGTGAACGCCGCGCGAAGCGTAATCCCCGCCTCTCGACGGCACCTCTCGGGAAAATCTTACATTCGCGTGCACGAGCTTGCACGACCTGCTATGCCAGCCGGTAAGAAAGGGGACGAATGCAGCCTTGGAAGTTATTGCTCTGTCCCGCGTAAAACATAATTAGATGACGCTCGACCGAAGCGATGCCGCTTCTCTTCTAGCCAGTCACCACCGTGGTTCTCAATCCCGTGATATACCGTTTCGGATTTCCTATATTCTCTTCGTCGATATCTCGCCCTTTCTCGTCCTCGTCGACCTCGTAGTCCTCGCCCGTTGTCGTACATCGGGGGATTACGCGTCGTGATATTTCCGCGTCTGCATCCGAACGTCGTCTTGGCGGACGAGGACGAGGACGAGGAGGAGGAGGAGGAGGAGGAGGAGGAGGAGGAGGTGGAAAGAAAGGAGAGGGCGGACGTGGGATAGAGGACCAGGGAGCGCGGGAAAAGAGAGAGAAGAGAAGGCGAGAGGGATATTTACATTGCTAATGTATCGTCGGCCTAACTTCTAATTAAACAAATTCGCACAACTCAGCGCACCGCGCGGTTGCCTGGTGGAATTGCTGCGAGGAAAGAAACGGCAGACGAGGAGAACGGACGAGAGGGAGCGAGCGTGCGAGAGAGAGAACGAAGGGAAGAAACAGAGGTCCCCGGTGTACTCGTCGGCAGCGGGAGCGGGGAAGTGGGAAACCAAGGGGTAACTCCCTTCTTGCTGGAGGGGTCGCTCGTTAGCGCTCTTAACGCGACTTACCGCCTGGAGCGCGAGCCTCCAGTCCCTCCCCGATTCATCGAGAAGAAGGAATGAATATTTATAAGAAACTGCAAAATAGTAGTCCGATCTTTTCTCTTCTTTTACTTTCGCCTCTCTTTTCCTCTCCGCCGTTTCCCATCGCGCCCGCACCCCTATCCTCGCTCGCACCGCTCTGCCACGGTTACCACCTCTTTCCCTCTTCGTTCTCTTCCTATCTATCACCTCGCGAGACACTGCCTCGACAGACGGCTACTTTTCTTCGCGTAGTCTACTTTATCGTTATCCTCGCATCACCCTTGTCCGTTTCGCTGCTTCTATGCTCGCGCGTTCCCCTTTCCGACCTCGAGAATCGCGATCGGCTTTCGACACGGTGAGGTCGATTCGCGAATCGGGGAGAGAAATTTTGCCCGAGAAAAGATGCGCGAAAGGATAACGCGACGCGCGACGAACGTTCGACAGGCACACGGGTACCGTTTGCATATCCAAACCGTCCTTTGCCAGTTTCCTGCCGCTACTATCCGCTATCTGTGCTAACTTCCGGCGTCTCGGTTGTCTCGATTACGACGTAATAAAACACCGTCGCGACACCTGCGTACCCGACAGAAACGTTTCGTCTGGTCTCGTCTGGTCTGGTCTGCTCTCTCGATAACGTGGAATTCACGGAGCCGGATGTACACGGTGAGCGTAAAGTTTGCGTTTGCTCGGGTACGGTACGGTGGCCTGCGCGAGTGCATCGTGTCCAGCTGCTCGCTGCGAAGAGAACGAACCGCCGACGCGTCGAGAAGATTAACCGCGACGCAAAGGCTACCGGTTACCGTGAACACCGCGTAGGCGTGTGTTTCTCGCTTCCGTGAGTCGTGCTTTGTCGCGAGCCGGAGCTGCTCCGCTACGACCTTGAAATCGGCGAACGATGTCGTCGGGACGACTTTGAACCGGATCGAGCGCGATCGCTCTCCACGAGGGATAATTCGACGAACGGTTTTTCCGAGAGGGTACGAATCAGATTCGCGTGCACGCCGGAACGAAAGATCGGCTCGAGTCGGAGCTCGAGACGCTCGCGGTATCTGTACTTGCCCTTGACGAGCGACCATACGGACGTGTAGGTGCGGAGCTAACTGAACGAACGAACGAACGAACCAACGAACGAACCAACGAACGAGCGGCACTTTGTGGGGTCGTAAAACAGCGGCAGCCTTGTAAATCTGTGCCCGAGTGTGCCAGCCCTGACAGATTCTCGCCCCACCTCTTCTCCTCTTCCCGCGATCCTACACTCGTCTCGCGTTAGCGCCCGCACCCGCACCCGCACCCGCACCAGCACCCGTGCCGCCGGCCGTGCCTGCGCCCGTGCACGCATACTCGCGAACCTACTCGCATCCGTGTCCCAGCGCTACCTGTCCCAGCCCAGTGTATAGCGTCTCCCTGCTCTGCTTGCCGCTGTTTGCTTACGTCGTGGAAAACATCTCGCCTCCGTCTTCGCGTTCCTTCTTTCCTCGCGTTCGTTTCCCATTCGCGCGATCCACCGTCCAGAGAGAAAGCATATCGACCTCCAGTCCGGTGAGGATCGTAAGAAACTTATCGCGCCTCCTCGGCGTGATCGATTTTGGCGGGTGGCGTTCCTTCGCTCGTCCACGATCGCACCTCGTGCGACAGGAAAGAACGGGATATCGTAAAATCGGTTAACTCGCTATGCAAATGTCGCGTAGGAATCTTTATACGTGTATATATGTAGGAATTTTTATTACTCCGGCGCGAACTTCAAGCCTTGTTGTTCACGGGTTGTTACACGAGTCTCGTGTAAAGCGAAGAACGAATGTAGCGAAACGTTCGCGTCCTACTCGGATAATAGCTTAGCTGTCGGGACGCGCCTTACCTTAACCCTTGCTTCCACCCTCACCCTCGCCCTTACCCTTGCCCTTACCCTCGCGAGCGCGCGCGACTTCTTTTTGCGCGCTGCGGTCTCTGCGGCATGCGCGCGCGACCGTCGTAAAGTAGCCGCGTGCGGATCGCGCGTATCTTACGAAACTAAATTGGACCGCGTCGCGGTACGAGCGGGGATGGGGGCAAGAGGCGAAACGACGAGATAGAGTCGGAAAGTGCGAGCGTTACGGAAAGGAAGAAACGAGTCATCGCGTGGTGGGAAATCCGCGGAAAGGGGAAGAGAAACGGGAAAGGAAGGAGAGGAGAGAAGGACGACCGGCCAGCCGCGGTCTAACCAGCTGGCTCTCCCACGCGTTCTCCACCAACTGACGTCTTCATCGTCCACCATGGCCGAGGATTCGCGTTCCGAGGGAATTCGACAGAGAGTCGCCCTCTCGATCTCGCGACCAAAGCCTCCCGTCCTTTTCTATCCCGACAATCGTCCGTCCTATTCCTCGTCTTCGTCGCTGATACGCGAATCTTGGAGCGAGAGAATCTCCGCGTCGGACGATTAAGCGTCGATAATATCGGCGGAAGGGAAACGCGAACGGGAAGAAAAACGGATTTTTCCGCGAAAACGGCTAGCGGCTTGGTTATCGTTTGACCGGAACCCCTACAAATCTCTACGGCTATCGGGCTGCTCGATCTCGGCACGGTTTTTCGGTGAATTCCTCTAACGCCTTTGCTCCCCTCGTTCTTCGGCGAATCGCCCACGCGGACGCGCGTCGTTCGTACATGCAGGGGAAAATCGGAGAAAGACGATGGAAAGGGAAGCCAAAGAAGCCAAAGACGTAGGCGAACGGAGCAAAGGGGAGTCGGCGGTCAGCACGGGAACGTAATTCCCGTATATTTGGCGCGACGAACGAGCGCGCGAAATCGTTTCAGCGATACGAAGGAGAACACGCGGAAACGAGAAATCCGTGAAGAGCGTACGGAGAGACGGTGGGAGAGCGGGTGAAGAACAGCTGGCAGGGTAAGAGAAAGAGCCGAAGAGACAGGGGCTCGTTTCTTTAAAGCGAGGGTTACTTTAAGGACCGTTCGAGAATCGGTAGTCTCTACGTCGATGTTTTATTTTATCCTCTCCGCTCCATAAGATCGCATTCTTTACGACCCATTAGACGAATTCATTACCAGACCGGAGCAATAGGTAGGCGAGGTCCGTAAGCTTCTTCTTTACCCTTCTCCTTCGCCTCGCACCCCTGCTGTCGCTCCCATCTCCTTCCCGTATATTTCCCCCGTTTGGTCCATCGTCGTTCCTTCGATCCGTCGCGAGTCTCACGACGAAGGATCGGAGAACGAAACGGCGGAGACGAGAAGAAGGAAAAACGCGCAGAATTGGCTGGAAAGTGGAGAAACCGGGTAAGAAACCGGCAAAGTCCCACGGGTGTGGTGGTTGGGATTCGCGAAACGGCCTTGATCGAGATGGTATCGCGCGCGAGAGGCCCTTTGGCCGATAAACGATTTCTATGTCAGTGACACGGTTCTCGGCTTATCTGGCTTATCCATCGGTTCCGCGCGCGCGCACGCCTATTCTTCGGGAATATTATACGTACGAGGGTCCGCGTGTTGGATAACCGGGCCGTATGCCGGTAGGTTCGTACGAACGCGATATCGCGCCCCATCGAATCAACAGCCGCTGCCCGTTTCGCTTTTCCGAGCGCGTCTTCGACGCAGAGCGACGGAACGAACAGAGTTTGGGAAAAGTGACTGACAGACAACGGGTCGTTACTTTATAACATATATATTTATTTGAGCTTTAATTGCATTTTAAAATACAACCGAAATAATTAAATAATGACAAATCTGGTAAAATGGTTTCAAGAGTCGCGTATACATGATGCATATCTTTGTGGTTGCGCATTTGTAAGTAGGTAGGTACTTTTCGAGCGTGTTTTTTTTCTCGCACGGTTGGCTATTTCTCGTTTCGTTTACTCTCGTATCCGCGAGTGCGTACGCGTCGCGTTCGTTGGCGCGCGTATGCCGTGTATCGCATCCACGTAGATCTCGTTTCTCCTATCCCCGCCACACTCTCAGCAGTCGTATATAATTACAATAATAATATTAATATTATCGTTATATCGATAAATACTTTTAAAGTCCGCGATGGAAGAATTAGAGTTTACAAGAAATACGTATACAAGTGTGTTCCGCTCCAAAAACTGCGCTTGCTCGTCCTCGAACGCGCGCAATCATCGCCCCTTCGGCGTACTTTTTTTCCCTTTTTCTTCCTCCTTCTCTCCTTCTAGCTCCAGTCCTCGTGCCTTTTCGCGTTTTCGCCCTATTGCCTATACCTCTCGCGCGCGATCGTGCTCGTTCGGCTTTCATTCCTTCCTCTCGCGGTTTCGTCTTTGCCCGCTTCGCTTTCTCGCACGCTCTCTTTCTCTCCCTCTTTCTCGCTCTCTCACTCTCGCTCCTTCCTTTTCAGTTCGAATGCACGCACGCACGCACGGCACGCACGCATAGCACGCATAGCACGCACGCGAGCAGGCAGAAGACGATTCGCTGGAGATTATCGTTGGCGTGGTCGCGCGTTCTAGTTAGCTAGTCCGAGGGACCACGGAGGACCTCGTTTTCCATTTCGTTTCATCGTTTCGTTAATCGTAATTAGAGAATAATCGTAATCGTAATCAATATACACGGGGTATTCGCGATAATCCGAGCGATAGTAATGACAGTATTTTACACTTAAAACGTCGCGTGGTGACTCGCACGACGCAATAAATATTATTTGAACAAAGAAAATTTACAATGGTCTACTCGTAGGCTACGAGCGAAGGAAAACGATAACGTTCGAGGAGGCCGCGTCGCGCGCGCTCGACTCGCCCCGCGCACGTGTTTCACCAGTATAACTGCGAGCCTCGCTATTGCACCGTATCTCGTTGCTTCTCGATGCTTCATTTTATATGCCGCTTCTCTCACTCTCCGTTCGTCTTCGTAACCGTCGTTGTGTTTCGGTTCGTTCCGAACTCGTAGACTCTCGAGGAGGTTCGATCCCGAACGATCTCACCGGTTTCGCGCAGCTCTAAGTATCAACAAAGAGGTTCCTATACAAGGGCGGACCCTAGCCTAGCCTATGCGCTAATCAACTACGCTCTTATGTTCTAGAGGTATACATGCTGATCTGACCTTACGACAGCTGTGTGATAGGTAAAGCCTTCCCGTCCTACACCTTGGAAAATTCTATTCGCTATCCTCGCTGCCTTTGCTTCCCTCTCATCTCGCGCGCTCTCTCGCTCTCTCTCTCGCTCTCGCTCTCTCTCTCGCTCTCTCTCTCTCTCTCTCTCCCTCTCTTTCTCTCGTCGTTTCATCCGATTCGTTCTCTCACCGCGCGTTCGCTCTGTCCGCTTCCTCACGCACATACGCACCCGCGTACAAACACACGCGCATTCTCTCTTTGTCTCTCTCACTTATACACGATCGGTCGGTCTGTCGGTCTATCGGTCGGGGTAGTTTGCACGCTCGCACACGCTCGTTCGTTCACTCGGTCGTATCGCCTCTCGCTCTCTCGCTCTCTCGCTCTCTCGCTCTCTCAACGCCAGTCGTAAATGTCCTTAAGTATTTATAAAATCACAAACTTGGCCGCTCGCCGAGCCCCTTGACTCAGCAGTGCCGCGAGATATGGTGGCATCACAATTTAATCAACGCACGTTCGATATCCACCTCCTCTCTCGTTTCGTAGCGCGACTCGATTATCCGGTGACGATGCTCGTTCGAACGATGATCGATTCCCGACTGGGGGAACGCACGGGGAAACGGAGTAACGTGGATGGGAGGAGAATGGCACGAGGTAAGGACAAGGGGGATGATAGCGAGGTAACAGAGGGCCAGGGAGAAAAGTGTGTGACGACGGAGACGAGAGCAAGGAGGCAGGCGAAACACACCGGCGTCCGGATAATGGAATGGCGCGTACGAAAGGATGGATGGCTCGAGGCGGAGGTTCGAAGGAGGTGAAACGCGGTGTCCAATCGCGTCGCTAGTTACAGTCGTTACAGTATAGATACACTTATGTACAAGTGGCACCGCTACTTACGGGGCTCGGACTATACGTACTTGCTGGACAACTGCTTGGCCAGCTCCGTATACTTGAGAAATTTGGAGTGCGGGCTCTCCTCGAGGGGAGAGGCCGCTGACTGAGACGGGCTACCGTTCGCCTGCGGAAGCGGCGGCGACTTGTTGCGCTGCGAAGTCGGGGGCGAGGAAGAACTGTGACCGGCCGGTGGCGGGCCGCCGGCGGTGGTCTGAGAGACCGCGGCAGCCGCGGCCGCAGCAGC